GTTTTCATCTTGACACGTTTTATTTCAAATTAGCTTCTTCTTTCAAATGTACAATCGAAAGGTAATTTTAATTATTCTGGAGAGAATGTAGAAATTATCTTATCGTTTACTTTTTCTTTCCGAATGGGTATTCTGAGACTGGTCAATTGGGTAACTGATTAGCAATCGTCTACGAAAATAGAATCATCGTTTTTCTTCAATTTTTTTTTAGTAATAAACGCCGAAAATGCGGTGCATCGTTCGAAAAAATTTGCGGCAATGGCAGCACGTACCCGTAGAGAAGCATTGAAAGAAATTGCTGAAAATTTCTCTTCGGCTCATCCTAATGATGGACCAGCAAAAATTGCAAGTGCGCACTTCTGTTACAATAAAAGAAAGTGAATTATTGTTCCAATGAATGAAAATTATGCAACAATTACAGGTCGATTTTTGGTTGGATCAGTGAAACGAAAGGAGCGATCATTACCACGGCCAGTGTTAAGTGAATCGTTACATGGAGCACTTTCGTGGCTTGTTGAAGTTCATGATCATTCACAAAATCAGTCGATCACATGTGTTCTGGGTTTATCTAGTGAAACTTTAGCTATTTTGGAAATGCCATCCGGTCAAGTTATTTGTGCGATACCCACACATTCGATCATTGGTTGGGCCAATACGGATTCAGGGTATACATACGCTACTGTTATTTCTTTTTCACTCTTTTTGTTTTCACTCTATTTGCTTTGTTACATTCCTGTCCTTGCATCTCCTTGAGTTGATGTCTTTTAATCAAATTAACGTCTCATTTTAATCAGTGATTTTTCTCTTAGTTACTCTAATATTATGAAACACTTTCCATTATTTTGCAATGTATTTAAAAGTCAACTAATGGGATTTGAAAGCTGAAAACACATTATTCCTGAGATATCAACAAAATTTGAATATTTTATACTTTGGAGAAAGATGGGTCATTCCATAACATAGTTTAGGTCATCTTACCATTTGCACTTATTCTGAAAAAATTAAAACTATTCCTTTTTAGATTGAAAATTTACTTTGATCACGGAGATGTGTTGCTTTTGAGATGCTGCACAACTGATAATAGTGATCGAGAATTAACTGCTCTAATACGACGTTTAGAGTGCGTTACGAAAGGTAGTGAAGAAGTTTTTGTAGTAGAAATTTTCAAAGCTTTTGATTGAAGCTAGTTTGTCTTAAGTAAGTTGATTTAGACTGAGTATATTTAAAATGACTTCAGTAAAGCTAGTAAGCTATATATATTCTTCTCTTTCCCTGCTACTTCTGCTTGTGGTGAATAGAAATAGTATAGAAAAAAACGGTCTAGCATCTTCCATGGTACTTTCCACAATTGATCGTTGAAGGCGATGAAGCTAAGGAAGTATTACATCGGCGTGCACGAACTTCCGACAATTTGGGCTTCCACCTACAAGAAGAAGGTGTTGTTACTGATGTAGAAATGTATCATACAGCCTGGCGATGTGGGCTTAGACAGGGATCACGGATTGTTGAGGTTGGAACAGTTTTAAACTTTTAGTTGAGATTTAAATCAGTCGCCAAAAAAATCTAATTTAAAGCAATGTTATTTTGAAAAATCATCTGTTTTTGTTTTTATAATGGATGCTAAATATCTTCGTGGAAACCTCGGAATTAAAATCCTTTTAACACTTTCTCCTCATGAATTCTCTGTGTCTCTTTTGTGAGACAGTATTTCAATTTTTTCATTAAACGAAATATAAAGTAAAATCTTTACTACTTCATTCTGAAATTAGTAAATTATTGAACTTGAATGGTGTATGGCTGGCTTTTTCATTGTCGCAGAGCCTTGTTTTACTGTTTTTATCATTTTTTTTTTTATCAGAAAGACTTATCGGCTTCCCCAACATTAAATTTTTAATTCGTTTACCAACTAATTAATTTCTTTTTCATTATATAGCTATTTAGAACATTTTGCTTTGGAGAAACTAAAAAAGATGAAATAAGTATAGTTTGCAGATTGAAGGTAAACCAATCGTTACAATGAGTTACAACGAAATTTGTGATCTGATGGCACATCGAACTTCACTTCGATTGATTATGATTTTGCCAGCATCTGATGGTTCGCCCCGTAGAGGCTGTGCTGATCCACACTGCCCTGCCGTAAGCGGTGATGAGCGGTTATTGTTGATGCCTGATACATTTGCGAAACGAAATATGAAGTAAGATTTTATTGTTGCGATGGTGTGTCTTGTTTTGAAATTTTATCCAAATATAATGAAATCACAGAGGTTTATCCCCTTTTCTTTATATTTTCAGAATTGACTTTCAGGATATTGGCTATAACAGTTTATTTATTAAAAAGTTAATTGTCAGCGGTAATGGATAATATAACTCTTTTTTTCTCTCTCTCTCTCAAGAATTCTGTTACTTACAAAAGACGCTTAATGTTTCAATTAGATAACTATTAACAGCTGATAAATTTAAGTAAATTTTTCAGTGCACTTGATTTTCAGCTATCTCAGTAGTTTTAAAAATGAACAACTTCGCACGCTCAATAACTGGAACAAAACTAGAAAGCAGTCAAGTAGTTTTGAGGATGAATCAATTGCATGGAACAGACATAATGCTGTAAATATTTTAATAGTTGTTGTTGAGACGTACATATTGTTTACATTGATTTGAATTCATTTTTACCCTACTCGAAATTATTTTTTTTCATGGTTTTTACGATGAGAGTTGGAGATGTGCGTGAATGTATTTTTTTAATGTGTGAGAATACTTTCACCCTATTATTAGTGAATGAAAATTGGTAAACATAAATTAGTCGGCATATATAATATATTATTGATATTATAAGGCAAATTTGTTGCTTAGATTTCTTTGGAATCACTATATTTCTTTTCTCATTAAATTTTATATTCTGAACTAATACATCCATTCCTTCCTCGTTTTTTTTTTTTTTTTTTTTTTTAACTCTGATAGGAAGAATTTTCTATTCGTGTAAATGCTAATTCCACTTACTTATTTTAGTTTTGGTCCTTTACATTTATTTTAATTAACATTTTAAATGAATTTTTTTGCAGGCGACCAAGCTTACACGTTATGAAAGAGTTAGCTGTTATGTACGCTATGAAAGACCTGCAAATACTGAGTAATTTTTTGCAAAATTTTTGATATTTGAGGAAATAAATTTTTAAGTTATATCAAGATTTAAGTTGAATTCAAGTTTTTTGTCGTTTGTAATATGGAATCGATATAAGATATTGTTGAAACACTGTGACAATTTTCACATTAAGATTGTGAGTTCATCCATCTAATGTTAACATTTCTCACCATTTACTTATTGAGCAAATATGACATTCCAGGCCTGTCAAATGGAAAGTATTAAATAACTGCCTGTATGAATCTACTTACAAAGTACAGGTAGCCTACAGTAAATTTTTCTGATGACGAATTTTGAGAATTTATAGTCAAAGTAGTCATTAATTGTTTAACTATTTATTAGAATATTTTCTCTCTTTTCTCCCAAGCAATTTAAATTTCATCAAGTTTGTGTAAATCTAATTTAAAAGGAAAAAGAACCTAACCGAACGAAAAAGAAAGAATTGATTTAAGATTCTTTCAAACCAGCTTATTCCGCTTTTAAAAGTTGGAATGTTTTTCCTAGCAAAATCGATATCGTAGTGTGTTGTCAAAAGAGTTATTTCTAAAAGTAGGAGTTACTAATTCATAATTTGTTTCAGGGGCGAATACTGCGTGTACGTTCTGAAGATTCATTAATTTCATCCTCAGAAAACTGTCGCAGTACCTATTCCGTAAATTTATTTCTATATGATTCATTGATAGTTATGATTTTATTAAGATTAATATTTCGAAATTTCAACAAAGTTAATGTTTGATAAGAGAATTTTTAATGTATTTCTAATTTGTAATATTAGTGTTTCATAGGAAGCATCCTTCTGTTTTTCCTTTCACAGAACATTTTAGTCTTCAAGTTTTTCAAAAGAATAGTAAATCCAAACTCGTAGAATTTCAGCTTGAATAAGCTTGAGAGGAATTAAAAATTAACTTTGTTTATCTCTTGACAGAGTTTGAAAACAATTAACGGTGAGGCATAAGGAAACCACATCTTATTTAAGTTGTGTCACATTCATTTTTAACTTAAAATCATCCCATTTTTTATTTTAGCAGTCGAGAAGCGATACTTATGGCCGCAGTATTAGTCTTATATCTAAAACGGGAGAATCTGGAAAAGTAGTTGCGAAAAAGAATGCTGAATTAGAAAAGAGCAAAACACAATTACAAAAAACACTGAGAGAAAAGCAAGCTCTGGAAGCTATGATTTCGCGTTTGAAAGAAGAACTTACAAAAGTAAATTCTTTATCTTCACTTAATTAACCTCTCATAACTTAACCTACTTTCTCTTGTTTTTTTTTTCAAGACTTGGTCTCGACTATACAATTTTTTTTATATAAGATGAAATCGGTGTGCTACGAGTTATGTCTTGCTAGCAATTAGGTAAAGAAGTGTTTAATTTAGGAATGGTGAAAATTAGATTCGTGGCTAACTGAATTATTCGTATAAATTCAACAAAACATTTTCATAAATTGTAGGAGCGACGTGCACATGAAATGACGAAACTTGAATTACAGAAACTGCAAAAGTATTTTGAAATGTTACCAAACGTGTCGCTGTAATTCTTTACTGGTAAGATATACTAAATATAATGACATGATAAATATGTGTGTGTGATATGCCCTTATTATAATGCTTGCATTTATCGTGCATCTGTTTTTACGTGTGGTCTTTTGTTGAAGTCCACTTTTTTTACAATGTTCTTTACACTCAAGTTTTCGAGTTTAATAATTTAATCAGCAAAAAGATTTGTTATAATCGTTTGATTCTTGAATTTTAGAAATAAATAGGTAAAACTTTCATGCCACAACACATTCTGGAGATTTTAGTGAAATGAAATTTGTCACTTTTCCTAATTTGTAATTCTGAATTGTATCTGTGCCGTCTTATTAGAGATTCCAGCATATCTATAATTTGTCATTGTCAGCATTTGACTATAATTTTCGAATCGTCGTAATTCCTTACATTGTGTTGTCTTTATTCGCCCTTGTTGTGAAAATTATTGATTATTAACCTTTCTTTTTTTCCCTTTTTCCATTGTTGTTATGTCTAAATGAAATTCGTAAACATAGTTTGGTGGCTCATCTTGATGTCATTACAATTTTGATCGATCAATTCTTTATGCCATATTAAGTTCATGTTATTTTGTCTCAGCAAATCAATGTATAATTAAATTTCCCTACAAACAAAATAAATGTTTTTGGAAACTTTAGAATGTTTTTTTGGTATGGCTGAGACATTGATAGAGAACGTCGTGTTAATTCTCACCGAATATTTCTGGTTACTGTACTAATTATTTTTGCAAGAATTGCGATGTTAAATTTGGAATATTCATTCTACACTGCTTTCTATGCCTACAATCGGATCATTTGGCTGATATATTCTTATGATACAAATGGCAATTTAAATCAAACCTTGCTTTAAGGAACTCTTCCGGCTACAACAATAATGGTTGTTTGTCCAGTTGTTGCAATTGAATAGCCTTTATACAAAAAATTCTACTTGATTAATTACAACCAACAGTTGAAGGGAGAACTCAAATTTGAATAATTAGATGCAATTTCTCAAATATCAAATTTCACTTAAACTGTGTAGGATGAAAAGTGATGATTGAAATTTGACGTCCATTTTTCAGTGAGCCTCCATTGATCATGCTAAACGACATAGGATGAGATCGTTGCAAAAAACATTACTAGCATTATCTTTTCGATAACCGCACACAATTTTAATTAGTTTTTTAAAAATTTAGTTTTAGGATTTCTATTTTCTGATCATATTTTAGCTTATGCGGTTAGCTCACAAACAATGCACTTACTGGTTTTTGCTATAAAAGAAGACAAATGGGTTAAGTATCTCATCCGATATCAGAAGGAGTTCCAGTTTAATAGTTTAATATGTCATATTCATTTAAGTGAAGTTTGAAATCGTGTCTTTTGCAAAATTTTAGTTAATTTACGAGAAATTTTTAACTTTAAAATGGAAATTGTAACACCTCCTTTATTTTCGTTTGATGCTATATCTCCACGTTGCTCAAAATCTTTTGCAAACACATTTCTGTGTCGGTAAGATTATTCGATTCGTAAACAACTCCATATTACACTTCAATTGATGCTTTCACTGAATATTTTACTTTTACTAATTTTTATATTGAATTCAAACAGTTGTACAACAGTGGAGAATTGCAAATCACAACAATGCTACAAGTAAGTACAATCGAAAAAGTTCATTGAAGTAATATCTATAGTTGGTTGCCCCAAAATTCTAAAATTTTACAGCATTTTGCTGAACTTTTGAAAGTTTCTCATAAATCCTACGCATGGTGAGTTGTTAAATCCACTCTTGTTATATACGGAAGGTTACACATGTAGTCGTGATGATTGTGGAAATCCAGGTATTTCTCTCCTAATACAAGGAATGATTATGCTTATTATACAGACATTATGTGTTCACTTAGATCACAATGTTCGAATGTGAAAATGATAAAAAGATATTATTAATTAGAAACTTTTAAACCACAATTAGTAATCAAACCGTAATTTAAACCATACTTGGTACGAGTTTCAATGACAAAAATTTCTGGTCTTCATAATTAAATTTTGAAAAAGCGTGCAAATCTGAAAATAAAATAACGTTTGGAAAGTATAAGTATAGCAATGAAAGTTTTCGTAAATTGTTAGAAAAAATAGTTTCCACATTTCAAAACATAACTTTCAGTCGTTATAAAGTTCTTTCGAATTTCAGATTCATCTGCTGTATATGTAAAAATATTTGCGATCCAAGCAAAAATGTTTTCAATATGTTGAATGACGACAGAAATGAAGAAAGTGAAAGCAGTCCCCTGTCATTACCACTCTACAACAATTCATACCTTCAGAATCTCCTACCTTTTAAAATACCAGCGATCAGCGATTCGCAAACAGTGAGTAGCATTGTTCAACCTATAACTGATGTAAAAGATGATTTGGTACCGGGATTGCCAAACGATAGAAAAATTGACTCTGATCGTACCGGAACTGATTACCCGCTAATTACTGAGGAAACATTATCAGTACCAGTTAATCAATATGCTATTAATAGGATCTCCCAAGAAAACAATTTGCATACACCTGTTTTTGAACAATGGACTGATAGATGGGAAAACACTTTTGATGGAAGTCTAACAACTTCAATTCCCGTTACTACATTAGACCAAGCTTATGATAGTGACAGAAACTATTTATCTACCGCTCAGATCAAAGAAAAGATACTTCAGCTCAATACTTCAGCTACACTGGCACCTGACTCCTGTGATAACTCGTGCAATGAACTGTCACATTATTATGATAATTTTTCTGGGATGAAAACTGAAACATCTTCGTCGGTGGAGTATGACGAGTCTGAAAAGTTGAAGCAAAGAGATAAGGAGGATAAGGAAAATTACTACGACGAAATAAAGGGTGAGCGCAGAAATCGTATTTCATTTTCACGGCATCCTAGCTTGAAGAAGCAGCCAACTATTTCGATAGATACGATTCCCGAGAAATTCTTCCAAAAAATGACACAATTAGGGAGCAAAACTCAAGATAAAGTAACCTCCTTCGGAAAGAGTGATTTTCAAAAAACCAACGTCGTAAAATCAAAATCTAAGCTTCATGTTGCTTCCAATAACAAATATAAACAGATAAACAAAGCTAACAATAGCGATTTTCAAATAAACATCTCTAGTATTGCCGAAAACCGAAAAGCACAGAATTTCGAGAAATTAAAGTTTTATGGGTATCCAACAATTATTGGTTTATCCAAGAAACATATATTTCTATCATCAAATCACGATTTACTTCAAGCAAATTCAGTAGCAAAGGAACCAAAAAATTCAGGTCAACACAATGTGCCGAGATTTTCTTTCTTGAAATTCAGAATGGAACCCAACAACGAAACTATAAAAATTTTGATAAAACCAGTTAAACTAGTGAGAGCGCAACAAAACAACTTTGCCGATGAACAACTAAATACTAAGTCACTAATGAAGGAATCTCACAAAGATAACTCTCTCAGAATAAAAAATTTATTGCCGAAATCTTTTGGTAAGGAAAGGAATTTGTTAGCTGAAACTGTTCACAGATCATCAAAATTACAACGAAGGATAGTAAGTAATACCGTTAAAAAGTCCGGTAGTGGCTTACAATTTTCGAATATACGTAAGAAGCCTGAACAAAAAAAGACAATTGATAGTTTTCTTTATTACATACCAAAGTCTCAAACTGAAGATATGCACGGTAAATTTAGCAGCAAATTGGTATTCGAGGTACAACCGGATAGTTGGACCAATATCTCTGATATTTCTCGAGAACAGTCATTACGTAAGAAAAAGTTAAATGAATTTTCTGAAGTTGCAAATATGCCAATACCAGAAAAAGGAATTAAAAAGTACACTCTAATACCAACAGAAAATACTCTGCTTAATCTGTCTATTGAACATCAAGTTTTGATGAAAAAGAATAAATTGAAAAAAGCCATTCGAACAAGAAGAGCAAAATTTTTTTATTCGAATATTGTCAAATCAAGTTAAGTACTTATTTAAGGCTTGTTTTAATTGTAACATGAAGATGTTGCGACACGAAGATGTTCAGTGTATGTACAGTGATCGATTCATCTTATATTTATTAACTTTTTCAACTTTATATTCTATTTAGGAGCCAACTCCGCCAGTAAATGATTGCTTATTGAAATTGTGCGTTTTTGTTTCATTTTCCATTTATATTTCTAATAAAATTATATTTGTGAGCGCATATAAAGAAGTAATTCTAGTATGTATTTTATGTCGAACTTTTTGCATTGCGAAAATCTTTCTTAATGATTTTACTTAGTTGATAAAATTAATTCAACAGTAATTTAAAATAACTTTTGAAGCGGATTTAACACTTACTTTTTATGAAAGAAACAACTATAGGGTGGGAAGTAGATTAAGGTAGGTTTGATATTAAAATAGGCCGCGAAATAGCTCGTGAAGCAATCGGTTTCCAACTTTCTTTTTTCTTTTAAGATTTGTGAGAGTTCATAAACAGATAAAAATATTTATTCAAATTTCATGCCAATAAAATATCAATATGCAATTTTTCAAACAAAGCTGATAAATAATAAAACAAGAAAAAGATGGAAAGCGGGAGAAAATAGAAATAAAAATGATAATTTTAAAAAAGGATGCAGATTGTTTGGTAGATCACTGCACTATCTTCAAAAATCTCAGAGCTACAATCGATACAGTTCATATTGACAAGCTCAGTTTGAAACTGTTTATTTGCCACAACCACCACAACAGCAGCAATGACCTCTGTAATATGTTTGTAACTGATATATATACCTGTTGATTTTATATCACAATGATAACCTATTTAAAAGTACCTTCAGACGACTACTTCCTTATCCTCTGACTATCTGCAAAGATGTATTAAAAGGATGATAGAACATCAATACTGCAAGTTAAATGGTGAAAAAGTCCAAGTATAGGATTGCGAAAAAGTAAAAAAGAGAAAGATTGAGAAAGGAACATACCCGCCGCCAAAAAAGATCGCCTGAGTGCTTGTCACTACAAAAACTAGCAGAATGAGCATGTATCGAGTGTCGAGCATATCGGATAGCGCCATTTGTTGATGATGATGATGATGATGACAAATGAGTAATGTGAATTTCTGATACATTGGTGACTTATTTAAAGAGAAAGGCTGTAGGAGGGATTAAATAAGTCCCACCTGAATTTGGGATAATTATAGCTAATAATGTCAGCGATCGACAGAAGAGTTTTCATCCGATTTCTAAGAAACACTGATTTTACAACGTTCCACACTGGAAATATCCGCGATGAAGCAACACTTGAAATTTTCCAGAAAATCTGAATACTGTGATACCCTTCTAAACTCAAGTACCATTTTGGATTTTTCGACAACATTGTCATTAAGGATTCATATAAGAATTTGAGTTTTTTATGAAGGAATGATGTGATAGACTCTTATTTTTACATGTTCTTGCATTTTCTACTATGACTAGCCATAAAGTATTTAAGAAGTCACAGCGAGTGTTTTCTTTGCTTGACAGATGAGACAGTTGATGAATTCAGGTGACTTTGAATATCAACATCAATTCTTGTAAAATGAAGTCAATGCATCATACCAGTTGACTGGCAGAAGTTCGTGAAGTTTTTGACCTCATAAAATGCTGTTGTGATGATTCTTAAGCTCACGAAGTGATCTTTTAAAAAGTCGAGTTCTCAACTTAAAGTGCAATAAAACAACAGTTTGTTGAATTTTTTAATTAACAATCCATCAGTCTGCGTAAACAGAAATTCAGCGAGTGTTGGGTAATACTGATTTCATATCTGATACTTCATGAGTTATAAATTGAATTACAAAACAGACGTTAAACTTAAGCTCAGCATTTTCAATTTCACTTGCTTCTTTTCATTCCATGTTCCCCATTTAGAAAGCAACAATTACAAGTGAACATAAAGTGTAAAAAAAAAGAACAAAACTTAGCCCACCATCTACCATCTAATACTTTTTCATGAACCACTTGTTTCCTTCCTCCATCAGGAAAAAGGATTGGGAATGTTGATTGACAGATCTTTCAAATAACAGCAGATTATTGAAAGATCGAAACAGCAATCATCAGTCTTGACAGATATTTTTTCATGTCCTTTTTTTCTCTCAAAATGTTTTCGATATATCTTAAAGATATGAATAAGCTATATTAATTGGTTGATTAAATCTATATAAATATCAAAATTTGAAATTTAGGTATGAGAAAAAGAAAATAATTAAGAAAGTGACGAAATATTCTACAATAATAAACGACCTCATTTCAAGTAAATTTTATTAATTGTTATTTGAAATAACAATGAAAAGGAGAAAAGATGAATACATTTTATAAATAAATTGGAAAGTTTTGACAACAGGTGGAATTTAATTAAACTTTTTCCTATGTTTCTGTTGCATCTTCTTTTCCTTCGAGTTATTTTAGAATTCGAAATTTATAAATGGGTCAAAGTGGAAAGCCAAAAAGGACATAACTTCTCATTATATCAAAAAAAAAAAAAACGAAACAATGAATAAATAAAAGCAGACGATGATAGTTTTAGTACATAAAGTTAAAACCAAAATATTTATACTTGAATCAATTTAAATTTGTTCCCAATATACTTAAGGTGCAAGCAATTACTATCGTAACAATACGAAAACAGTTATCATTTGAAATACCTAAGATGAGGATCAAAGCAATCGTAGAACTTAAATTTAAAGCAAATTGTATCAGTTGAAAATTCGAAGATTACAGACTTTGAATTTGGATAAACTTGGAATTTGAAATAAACGATGAAATCTTCTATTCCAAGCACAACAATGTAACAACTACTTTCACTAAAACATAGCAAATCTGCTTGTACCTTGCACATAATTAGATGAAATGATTTCATACTAGTTGTCAGTGCCGCATTGATTCAACCATTCCAAATGTATTTCTACACTTTACAATTTTAAGCAAAACATTATAACAGCTCTACTACAAAAAAATGAAAATAAATTAATTTTCTATACTTGACATAAAATCTTTTATTGAAATCGGCAGACTTTTGCTGAAATAAATAGACTGATTATGATTCAACGGATCAAGTCGATAAAAAATTTAATTACTTTCTGATATGAAGGTCATTCAATTTGTGAAAATATGAAGTGAAGAAAAGAGGAAAAAAAAAAGCTACTGGAAAAAGCTTAACCCAATGTCAACGTTTTTAAACTTTTAAAAAAAGGGATTTTTGGAAATTATTACAACGGATTTATATTAATTCATCATTTCAAGATAAAAAAAATATGCACCACAATTTGCAAATACCTACTATATATAAATTTGCTCGATATTCTCGCCTTCCCGCAGAAATTTGTTTGCAACTTTATGCGGTGAATTTAGTAGCTGTTGCAGAATTGAAGTTTATTTTTTTAACTGAAATACTAAATAGAAAATATTATTCTTCATCCAACAGGTTTTCAGAATAATTCAATCGATCAGTCTATTTTCTTTCTTCATGAGTGCTCATTTATTTCATTCTTTTTCACGGGAATCGAATTTCAATTTCTTTAATTAATTTTTTCATGGTTCTAACGAATGAAGCATCAAAAAACACATATACATCCAGTTATCTTTCATTATGAAGCTTAGTAGATAAAGAAATAAATACTCCAGAAGTCTTTGGAATATGTTCTTTTCAAAGGGCTGGGTGCGTTAAAATTCTTTAAATCTCTTTGAATTCAATTCTCCAATGAGTTATGTTTCGGAAACTATCAGACTGAAGAATGAACAATGGAAAAATATAGTAACAATTTGAACAATCTGAAAATTATTTCTTTTTTTTATATAAAAAAAACATTATAATAAGAGTCATTCTTTATATAAGTTCAAAAATTTCGTTTTCCACAGTTATTAACTGAAAGTCTTTTAACATTTATACTTAATTCAGTCAATTTCGAATTCCAAGTGAATTATTTGGAAGAACAAGGAATTCTATATTTAATTTTTATTCGAATTTTTTTTTAATATGTTACAAAAATCTCAAATGAGTAAAATATGCGATAACTTTATTTTCTATTAGTATTAATTAAGAAGTTAACAACATTTAGACAATTCATTCATTTGCTCGCTAATTTGTTTCTACTCTCTGTGAATTTAAAAATAACTCTTAAGCAAGCAACGTGTAAACAAACGTAGGATGAAAATTTATTCATTTTAGTCCAACAGTAAACAAACAATTGAATAAATCGAATGAAAATGCGGCACTGATTTGCTCCTTCTATTATAATTAATTACAATGCATGAGGTGTGGTCACAATAAATAAGACTTACAGATGACAGTGACGTCATAAATATTTCAAGTCAAAAAGCATTTTTCAGAACAGTTATAAACAAAAATAGTATTTGTAAATACGCTACAATGGACAGAAATCGTACACCACAGTGGCAGTTATCTAAAAAGGTTGTTGCAAGCCATACATAGGTACAGAGTGGAAGGGCCAAAGAGTAATCGATCTTATTTTCTATTTGATTTCTGCCACACCTCGATTTTATCAATTTTGTTTTGGGATCATTTGTGATATTATAAGATCCCACATATACTTCAAATAGATGGAGATCGTCATCGTCAAGAGGACTAATGAGGAACGTGAAGATGAGGGCAAAAACATTCTACATCGATACTCTCAATAGTCTTCGGGATCTTCACTGTTCCAAATGTTTAAAATGTAGGTGAGTTTACTACCGAAATCTTTGATATTACTCTAATCGTCATTTCTTTTTTTTGCTATTTCCACCACAGCTATTATAATTTCTATTGTTGCAAGTGAATTCGGAATATTTGAGAAACTTTATTGAAATGAAATTGTTATAAAGTGAACACTTTATTTTCCATGAAAGAAAACTGCTTATATATAATGTATGATTATAAAGAAGATCAAAAATTGACCAAAATAAAGCAATAAAACAGTACTCTGGAATAAATATTAGCCATTTATGCAGTACACTTTTCATTTTTCTCGAAATGAAGTCTTGAGATGAAGAATTGCTTAAATATAATTGATGATGTATGCCTTATCAGTAAATACAACTTTCGCATAAAATTGATTTATATGTTCAACTTTTTTAATCCAATTGTTGACATAACTAACTTCAATGTTTTACACCATAAAGTCTGCAATCAATTTAAGGGATTTAGTGTACTAAAACGAAGATATTAGAATGTTTGAGTGCATGAATTTTCTCAATAATTTAGTAAAATGAGTACTGATTTGATATCTAATTAGTTCACAAATAATGTGATAACATATTTTTTGCAGGAAATAGAGGAAATTTTTCCAATTTTATAACATCAAAATAGAGATACTTTGTGAGCTCTAAGAATACCGTCCACTAAGGCAAGCAATCCTTAAATTAGTGCCTATAATTTCAGGCTTATTTCTTGACAAAGCATTTTTTGTTTACCAAACTGACAAAATTATATCCGAGAACTTTATCTCACTGACTTCTATACTTGACTATTGTTCTTATATTTTTTCCAAAATGATAATGCAACAGAAGAAAAAAAGGAACATATGAAAAAATAAAGTATCGCATAGTTTCTTTTCGAGAATATTGTTATTATTTTAAAGTATTGTTATAGCTCGTACTTTTTCATTTAATTCAGATATCAATAGCATATGGTAATTTATCTGCCATCAACTTTTTTGTTTTGAATTGATAAATAGTAGTATCGTGTGGTTGTTGCCGATTAAAAAAGACCAAGCAGAGTAGAGGGAGAAACAATATTTCATCAGATATTGCAACGGGAAGATTGAATCCTCAGAACCCATCTATGAACAATGGTGTAGAGCATTATAAAGCTAGCAAAGCCTTAATCCACTTGCCGTATGGTTCCGCTCCGCATATAATCCTGCTCTAAGGTGTTTTATTGTCAACCATTTATTTGGCAATGATAAATACTTTGATTGGTTTCATTATGAATTTTATTTCTGTCATATTCGATCTGTTCTTATGAATATCTGATACTTTTGAGGGAAATGAATAGGTTTTTCTCTTGAAAATTTTGCATTCACTGAGATTAATGAAGAAGATTTTATTGCTCAAAACATCCGTATTTGGTTTAGACTGCAGTTAGAGAGTAGAGTGGAAAGTAAAGTAACATGGAAGTTAATGTGAAGCAGCTTTCAGATTCTATGAATCATGAGCAAAATTCACCAGATTATCGCACTTCTAATTGTTATCAACGAAGTACAAGGCTTATTATTCAGTATCTTCAGCAGGTTTTGATCTTTCACACCTTTACTTTGAACATTAGGCATAAATTCAGTTTTGAACTTTCAGCTTCAAAAGAAAAAGCCAAAAAACAAAAACCGCCTCTGAATGTCTTGAAACTATTTAAAATTTTTTGAAAAGGTTTTAATGATGCTATTTCCGTCTGTTGGTACAATTTCAGGTGTTGTTATAAGCGATGCTGTTGCTGCGGTTGCGGTCTCAGAAATAATGCTGGTGGTGGCTGCGGTGGAGGTGGTTGTGGTGTAAGTGGTTATGGTGGTGGGAGTTACAGTGGTACAGACTGCACTAGTTATGGTGGCTGTTGTAGTGGTGGTGCTGGTAATAGTGGTAGAAGTGTTGGTAGCGTTAGTGGTGGTGGTGCTGGTAATAGTGGTAGAAGTGTTGGTAGCGTTAGTGGTGGTGGTGCTGGTAGTAGTGGTGGTAGTGGTAGAGGTGTTGGTAGCGTTAGTGGTAATGGTGCTCGTGGTGTTAGTGGTAGCGGTGTTGGTAGTGTTAGTGGTGGCGGTGGTAGTAGCAGTAGTAGTACTGCGGGTCGTTTTATTGGCTACAGCAGGGATCGTTTTGGTGGAGTGGACCACAGCAGGAATCGTCTTGGTGATATGGGCTATAATAGAGATCGTTTTGGTGGTGAGAGCTACGGTGGAAATGGTTTTGGTGGTGGAAGCTGCGGTGGAGATGGTTGTGGTAGTGATGGTTACAATAGTGTACGCTGCGTTGGTGATTGTGGTGTGGGTAGTTGCTGTAGTGGTCGTGGTGGTAGCGATAGCTATACTGGGGATCATTTTGGTGATAGAGACTACAGCAGGCATCGTTTTGATGGTGATGGCTACCGTGAGAATGGTTTTGGTGGTGGAGGTTGCGGTGGGGGCGGCTTTGGCAGTAGGGGAGAGTGCAGTGGTAGCAGTAGCCCTGGCCTTAGCGGATGTGGAAATGAATACGGCTGTGGCAGCAAAGGTACTGACGGAAATGATTTTGTGTTTTAATCTTTTATATTTTCTCTAAATTTAACATTTTTGATTTTTCGTTCGAATGATGCAAAAATTCAGAAGTGTTGGAATTTGTTAAAAGGCAAAATGAACGATGAGAGAGGAAATATGAGTGTTACTGAAAAATGAACAAAGGATGGTTTTATAGTGAACCCTTCCGTTCTTTTCGCCTCTAACAATCAAAATAAGAACTCATAAAGATATCACTGCTCACTCAGTCGATAATGCTTCAATGACTTCCCATGCTAATCTATTTTAACAATTTTCAACTTTAGCATATAGCGGAGGATACAGATTGAGGAAGCGATTGAGTGACATGGAGTCTGAATCGACAAGTAGTGAGACTGACGACAGTGGCTTTAATGTTGACAGTTATGTGAGTGGTACGAGCAGCCAAAGTGGCAATGGTTATGCTGATAATCATAGTGATGCCCGCAACGTGGACGGATGCGATAAAGGGGGATGTAAACAACGCCATCATCATTCTGAATATTTGATGTCACCGCGTCCTGTGATACCAATATTTGGTGTTGGTTTCTAAAAAGTGTACAGCGAATATTATTTGCCTCAGCCGAAATAAAAATGACATCATTAGTGGCAGTTGGCATAAACATTCTATTGCCTATGTCTACGAAGTCATCCTCTCTTTCCTATGTGGCAGCACTGCGATTCTTCTAAGTAATAAAATTACTACCTTTACGGAATCAGTTCTTACATCTACTTCATTAGGAACACTTCTATTCTCTATGCAAAATTTTATCAATTTATTTCTATTTCAGTGAATGAATTTTGAATAAATTCTGATGAGCTGTGAAATATGCAGTGAAACAGGAAAGGAAAAGCATGTAAAGTTTGATTTATAGCCTATTGTGCATTCGTGACATAATTTTTTACAGGCGGTAAGACCTCTTCAATATGCTTTTCCTTGGTCATTAAAACAGCTTATTGAATTACGCCATATATTCAGTAAATAAAAATATTTTAGATTCTTGTAACTCACTTTGACTTAGTTGCATAATTACTTTAGTTAATTCTGGATCAATAATTTCCAGTCATTGCTTATATCGACTCCTGCTTCTTACTGATTTTACTACTGATTACGATTATCTTCCAATTCCAACTCATCCAATTTGATCTGCTGCTCATCCTCAATTACAATAATCTCCTTCAGGATTATAAGTGAGATGTCACAGAAAGGGATAAAGTGATAAAGGATGGAAGGTAATACTAAATATTGACAGAAATATAATAAATTAATGTATATGAAGTGAAGTAAGCAGTAATTTTTTTTTACTTTAAAGCGTTTTATTCCTCCTCACATAAATTTTCATTTTATTTGGGAATAGCAATAGAGCGATACCATTCTTCAAGCATAAGAGCTAAGGTTTCATAAATCAAATGCATACAGAGCTAAAAGAAGGAAACTAGATTGATTATTCGAAGCATTCCATTTTGTTGGTGCCTTTCCCCTTTCCTAATCATACCCATAATAATTACCATCACAATCACTGATAGCCTATTGATCAAATGAGTACAAGCATTATCACAATGACAACAACAAAATTGTCATAAACAACAACGTCATTCATCATTAATAATTATTGTTACAGATATTATTATGAAATTCCAGTTATCTATAGCTATACCTTTAGCTTATAGCTTAGGTAGGGGGAATCACTCATAGAGACTGGTTTTAAAATTAGAGCTACTAATCTAGATGATATCAGTGTTATCATCAAATTATCATGTTGTGAACGAATAAGATGACAATATGCTTCTAATTGTGTAAATATGAAACTAGTTAGATACAAGATGAGAACAAGTCTATAATAATGATATTATATAAGTTTGCAGTTTCGCTTTCAATATCAATACAATACCTCATTTGAACAACTTATTATTAACATGCCACTTAATTTTTCAGTTTTTCAACTGGTTCATTGCCACTTGCTGGTATTATACAATTGACTACTGTCACTGTCCTTTCTGAACATTTTAATACTTTGTGTTACAACAGGATCGATGAAAACAAATTACTAGGAATTAATTAATGAGCTCATTGAAATAAAGCACAGTGTGCTGTGTTATAACAATAAATGTATAATGACAAGTCATTTTAATCCTTAAATAAGAATATCCTGCAGTTTGAAACAAGTATTTTGGATGACAGAAAAAAAGAATCTAAAAAAGTTTTTTCAATCTCTAACAATGAAGTTAATGAATTTCATGTTATTCGAGTCTTTTTCCCACGCTTAACTTAAATGTTGCATTAGTATAGACTTGTTTTTAAACTGTATCTTGTCATATTTTACAGACTGGTGTAGATTATTTACTTATCCAGAGCTTAAATGCCCACTCAAATGGAATAGCAATTAGCAACAAACGAAACTAAAAATTTGATAATTTCGAGTGACAGAATGACAAAGAGAGATAGAATTACAACAAAGGGACGGAATTTATGAGTGGAATTAAAGTGGAACTTTGCAAAAAATAGAAAAGGTTTTCTTTCGATTTGAGTACTCCGTTTCTGGTATATTGATGGGAATATGAGTCATATAGTTGGAGTGGAGCGTTTTTTTTTTTCAGGAAATAAAAATATGAAAAATCTGATAATTTCGAAATAAAAGTATGAAGCATTCATTTATGCTTTTTCAAGATTGTTTTATATGATTAGTTTTACCTAATAATTTTGTCAGCAAATTATCCAACAAATATTATTTGTAGAGTAACAAATCTTCCTTCTTCCAATGAATTTATCCAATTACCTTTCACATCTTTTTAACAGCGCAAAATTTTTTTTGAATATTAGCTCAGTAAGAAACCATGATAGAAACTTAATTTTTTACCGTACAATAAGCAATGTTTAGCCTATCAAACCTAATGAAACACTTAAAGTACTATTATCATATCATTAGATAACTAGGTTGCTAATGAATGATATGGGCAATCTCTTTACCTATTTCTTGATCGATACGAATTTTATTACTATAAGTTATCGTCATTTCGTACAACAAACTTGAGGAATGTCAACTTCAAATATTTCGTTATTTCATTGATGACTTAATCCGAATCGTTTATGGCAATGATTACCGTCACAATGTTCATTTACAGAACGAAACTTAACAAAATAGTAGAAGCTAACCTCTCACGATGCGATTATTTTTGCCCTTCGATCCTTTGTAACAAATAATCGGAATAAGGGCGGAAGCATTTTGAGAAAAACTGCTTTCAGTAGCATTTATTTATTGATATTTCTATGCCTCAGGCAATATTTAAAAAGAAATGTTCGCTCACCAATAATGGTAAATTTGAGATAATTGTCATCTTACCCAACCAGAAATAGTACGAGTTTTGTCTGCAGTTATAATTTTAATCTTTCGCACTTTTTTTAGAGTACTCTGATGTCAGAGCTAAACAGAAACACTGAATCGAAAAAGCACCACAAAAACTAATTTTTATTGACAATCTGTTAGTTTTTGTTAGGATCATCTCTTGAGCTTGAACCTATCACTTTCACATTTTTTCTTCACGCATAAAACTGCATTTTTTTATGGTTCTATTTCTATTGGCTCTTAACACTGTATCTTTCACTGATGCTTCATGAAAGAAAAACAAGGTTAGTTTATTGCATAAATCATCCAGCAGTTCGAAAATAGAGAACACAAGGAAAATCACATTTCAGTGTTACAAAATAGTTTTTTAGGAAAGAAGTTTACAAGAAAATTCACTGGGAAAAAGATGATGTAACGAAGACAAATACATTTTTTCAACTCTTCTGTTGCATATGTACATGAAATTTCACAGCTGGCACATTTTCCACTGATGATGTAACTAAAGATGTGATACCGAGGTTGTACAGTGCACCCCTAAAAAACGGAATCAACTCTTAAAATAAAATATTGAAATAGGATATTTTGAAAAAAAAAAAAAAAAAGAAAACGCAAGGAGAACCTTACGATACCACATGAAAAGGCTAAATAGATAGCAGATTCTTCCACATATTGTTTTCCTTCCGGAAAACTTGTTAGGATGAAAAATTTGTTATCCTGTACAACATAAATCCCCTGAAAAAGTATTGTAAAAAAACAAGTCATATCCAAACTGAGACCTTCTATTATAAAGCAGGTTCATATAAGAAAGAAGTTATGGAAGCATAACCTGGTGATTAGTACGTAAATTGTCAACCTGTTTGCCAAATACAGCAGTCCAAAATTCTTTACAAAGGAATTTCATCCTTTCCAATTCAGTGATTAATCTAAAAATAGGAAGACAACAGATATTACAGCTAACAATTCAGTAGACATGTATTACTTATTCTAAGTAATCTAAAAAAAATAACATCATAAACCTCGGTAAGTCTTTAGCAATTTTTTCAACAAGCACGAAACCAACACGGTAACCGAGAGCTTCCAGGCGTGTCTCAGCATTACCCTGCAATTAAAGATCTGACCAGAATCAGTATGCAAAAATACAATGAAAAAAGAGCTTTTGTAAAATTCCAGAACAAGCAATTTTTCTGTCCTGTTCTGCAAACCTGAATGAAGAGTTGTTTCACGGATTTCAATTGTTCATCTAATAATGAGATTTCCATTTGCGGATTGCTCCGCATTTGTTCAATCCAGATTTTTCGTTTGTCAGTCCGCTCTACCTGCAATGCATGACAAATAACATTAATTAATGCAAATCGTAAGTTGAATTTCACATCCTATAACTCCAAAGGACAATAAAAGATATTTATCTGTTATGCCTACTTGCTAGCAGCCTTCTCCCTTCATTTTTCTTTTTTCCTTTTCATGACTTTTTAATTAACCAATTTTGAAAATATTTCAAATTTTACTTCAAGATCATTTGCTTCTGAAATTCCATATAAAAGCTATTATTTTCACTTCGTGAAACATTACTGCGGTAAAATCTCCCAAATGAGATGTAAGATATGTAAGTGAATTGAAAACTTATCTCCCGTTGTTTTTCATAGCGTATTATTTCAGCATGCAAAAACTCGAACGGAAAACAAGGTCCAGATACTAGTGAGTTCATCAAGCCTCTAATGTTTGTTTATAAAAATCATAGAATCATGGTCATTGCAAAGTCCAACTAAAAATGACTGCTTTAATTCTTCAAATGAAGCAAAAAGAAACACCCAAAAGATAGTCTGCCACATCAGACCCACAAAATCTCAAAAATATTCCCAACAAGTCTCCTGAAACTACAGCTATTTTACTCGGATTTCGAAGTTAATAGCTGAAAAACCAAAAATGATATATCCAGTTCAAGTTAAAGATTCCAATGAGGAAATACCTTATCGGTATATTTTTTGTCACAAAGTACCCTCCTCAATGAATGCATGCAACAATTCCGTGCAGTATATACTCCTCATTCACAACATTAATACTATGTCACACTTCAACAAAACATGGAAACTTCTCTAAACATTGCCAACTTAAAGTTCTCTTTGACACACCGTCCACTATTGTTTAAGACTGGCCTTACCCTTACCCCCAGCTTTTTCGCGTACCCTATTTTGAAAAAATATAAACAATATATCGTGCTTATCGGTCATGTTTCGCCAAAGAAATGGGAAGATTTTACTAATTATAAAGTTTTATTTATGGATTTCATATCGAATATTAGCATCACGAAACGATAAGAGCAGAAGGGAGAACATACACTTTATCTACTTGGAAAGAATAAATTTTTTTGACTAGATAACATATAGCAGAACCTTTCCTAATCATACATTTAAAAAAGTATCCTATTACTTAGAGATTGTGAAATGATAAGTTGAAAGATCAGTGTAATGTACGGAAAGAAATACTAAAGAAAGAAAATCAAATAAATTCGATGAGACGGATCTACCAAATTTATGTATACATATAATGTATTAAAGGGAAAAACAGTAATATGGCAAATCCTTTATTAGTTTTTATGTATCATGAAAAAAAAATGCCTTTGATTTTTTGGACAAAAATTTGATCCATGATCCAAATTACACATTTCTTTTTGCTCTTTTTTTTTTTTTGTTTATCAAAATTTCCGTCCTTCAAACATCATCCATTTCTTCTCTTCCATGAATATTGAGACGACATTTGCAAAACTGCACTTTTATTATTCCTTGTTTACCTTTTCCTTGCAAAATGTTTGAAAAAGTTACGCTCTTTCTTCTTACGTAAGTCAGTACGATGGAAAGTATACTTGTAACGATTCGGCATTCCTGAAATTCGTTTGCAAAATGAACGTAAAAATAAAGAAAATGAAAGTCTTATGATAAAAACAGCAATTAAATCTCAAACTTGTGCTAATGACTGTTTACTTTTAATACGTGTTGAACGACGAGGCTTTAGTGCTGATCGAAGTATCATGGACGACACACATTTTGTATCAGTAAGAACAGGAAACAACCCGTGTTTGCGGGGTGACACAAGCCTTAGAGTATGTGATGATTTTCTTATTCCTATGCGTGCTGTAGTTTCTGGAAAAAATGAAGGACTGTCGATAGTCTTCAGAGATTTCCTATCCAAGTTCTTTTTTCTCGGCGCCGCAGGTGGCTGCGGAGGTCTGGAGGGTGGAGTGACAAAATTTGTAGTTATTGCCGTATCTGCACCGATGACAGTACTTTCATTTTCTCTCTGCTCGCTAAAAATTAAATTCCACGTACTGTTCACGTAACAAAAATAAACTACAATTTTTGGCTGCATTTATGCTTCAAAAAGATTGAGTGGTTGCATACTTTATTTAAGAGATCTGAAGTCACAATGTTCACTGCTAAAGGTTCTGGAACTAATAGAGATAAAGTGCTAAAGACAAAGTGGTGATCCGTAATATTTGGAAAATATTGATGTGAGTTATATCCATAATGTGAATTATATTTAACTTCATAACATAATACAACAGAAATGATAACAAACTTGATGAGGATTTCATTCGAATTCCGACTTCCAGAAGCACCATGAATTTCAGTAAACGATTCGGGAGAGGGTGTTCGTGGTGGAGTGCCATTCGGTCCAAACGGATTTACTTCTGGTAAATCCTCTAAAGACACTGAAAAAAGATTATTCAATATCAGGATGGTTTGAATCAGTCAATGAGAAAAACTAGGAATAATGCACAATTAGTGACCGAATTCCACTTCCTCCGTTGATGTCCTTGCTCGGCGTCGCACTGGAGAGTGCCTGGGTGTTGCATGGATGGGATGAGAATCTAATAATGACGGAAAAGCATGAGAATGAAGCGATGAATCCGACAAAACAGAATCAGATGTGACATCTGAAGAGCGCGGCAGCGTATGTTCGGCCAAAAAGGGTGACATAGAAGCTTCTCTTTCTTGTTCATTATGATTCTCAGGTCGTCTGGGTTGTGAAAAAATTCGTAAAATGTTTTCTCTGAAAGAAATAACTTTTATTCCTATCTTTGATAGGCATTTCAATCCTCATTTAAGGAAAAACGATTTTAAATCTAGCTGACATTTTAAAATCCGCTAAAAAAGTAATTAATACATCCTACAGAAAGCTATTATGAAATAAGAGTTGTGCCGGGAATTGAAAATATTGAAAAAAGGTGAGAATCCATAAATAATAATGGAAAATGATACTCTTTCTTACATATTAACAGGAGGCAAATCAGGCGGTAACATGTCTCTCAAACTGAAAGTACCAGTCCTATTAGTACGATTTCGTCGCAGAATTGGACATATATTTTCCTTGTTCTCATCTTCGATGTACCAATTAGTATTTCTTACGTCATCAGATTCAGATTGTTCAAAACTGAAATCACTGATCTTATTTGATTTAAAAGTAATCAATAAAAGCAAAGTTAACGTTATCAAAACATAACAGTTAAATTCATTAAATATGACAATTTTTGAAGGAAAAGAAAGAAATTTCTAAAAGGAAAAATATTTAACGTTCTTTTACTATCAAAAAGATGTGAGATACACACTGGAGATGCTGTAAACGATATGCCATAAGATCAGCCGTTGAACTATAACTTATTGGATCCACAAGAGGAAAATTATTTATCGATATATTCAGTCCACTAACACCACTATCGTTACTCCCGGATCTGAAAATGCAGTGGTGTAAATGACTGAACAGAAAGAGCTGAAAAGTTTGCTAATTTTTTGAAGGTATTTTCGAATGAAACATTATTTAAACTAAATGATATAATGAGACATTTTCTGTTTTGTCGGACTTCGGTGGACAGATATTCTACAAACTTGGAAACATTTTAAAGGAGTCATTTATGAATACTCATAAATGAAGAATTCCATTAACTTGATATAGCTTTACTTACACATGATGGCCTATCACTTGACCCGTGACTTGTTGATTCCTGGCCAAGTCTCGAGTTCTACTATCAGACTGATTCGTTAAGTCCCATATTCGATTCATCCCTACTGTGTTAAGTAACTGCAACAGCGCAAGATCTGTAATGGAATCCAGAAGATAAAAATCACAAGATTTAAGACAAACATCAATACGATGAAACAGTTATCACTTCATTCTTTTTTGTCAAATATGCAGTGCACTTATGAGGACTGCATACATTAACATCGCACACAAACAATCCTTATTACTGTAATTCGAAGAAGGAAGAAATAGTAAGAATGTCATTTTGCTAAGATTGTACTTTCATTCATATCTAATTTTTTTCAGAGGTCACCCAATAACAGTTTGTCTCTCCTTCTCTGTCATTGCCCCTTGACCTTCGCGCGCAACTGATGCTATATAAAGGATAAACAATGACGTTGCAGGTTCAAAAGAATGTGCAGGAATAGTAGAATCAGAGAAGATAAAGATTTATGGGTACCTAATGCTACCGAAATGATTATGAATCGCGCGGGCTGTGCCGGGAAGTTGCATTTAAAAATAGTCAAAAGTGCAACTACAACCAGATGACTAGTGTGGACATCTATAAGAATCTATACTTCAAGGTGAACACAACAACCATAAGTGAGAATTTACTACTTGAACATTATGCATAACAATAAAGTAATCTATATATATATATATATATATATATCGATATTAACTACCAGTAATCCCTTCATTACAGAAGCATTCAATATCGATAAAACTACAAGAGAGAGAAGAAAAATTAAAAGGATTAAGATACCAGAAAAGAATGAAGTCTGAATTAACTACATTTCTTTTTTCTCCTGACACGTTAGTAAAGGTGCAACTATGAACTATGACTTTATGGCGTTCTAAAGTATATATAAACATCTGTCCTCTACAACAATTCCCGTTTAAGACTTTTCGAAGCAACTTTTCTGAATTTTCACAAAAGTATGAAAAGATATCGAAGAGATACATAAAAAAGTTGATGGTAGTCAACAATGAGAAATGATCAGACTTCTGCCGTTTGGAAATCGATATAATGTAATGAAGACCAGTGAAGTTAAAATGATAAATGAAAAGTAGAGACGATATGTGTGAATGACTATTAAACAATGGTAAGAAATAGAAATCAAAGGTATATGCATATTCCATATTTTACCGTAAGCTAACTGATGATTCGGAATCGAAAAATGAATCTGCATTTTACCTGATTCTATAACAAAGGAAAGATGCTAATATTATTAGAAATTTCTCAGAACTTAATAATATATCGAGAAAGCGCAAAGTGATGTATAACACAATAAGCAGAAGTTATTTGCCGACTATTCCCCACTGACATTACAAGAAAAATAAATAATCAGGAAGAGGGAGAGGAGGAAGAAATGAAAAAAAGGAGGGAAATGGGAAATGGTATGATTTTCACCTCCCATGCAAAACAGATGACCAGAAAGACCTTTACCTGGATAAATAAAAAGCAAGCGTAAATAATGCATTCCCTCCATCTGCCATCCCATTGCGTAATTATTTTCTCATTGCTCCTGAACACCAACAAAGGTGGATGGGAAAAAGAATAAGCAACAGAAAAAAAGAACAGGTCAACAGCTCAAACCATAAATCATAAAAATGAGCTGTTCGATAGTATAACAACTGTAATTTCCAAAATTAAATTGTAACAAAAATGGTTCAAAAGAATGAGAGTAATAAGGAATGGATAGTGATGAATCAAGATCAAGTGCCTCTTTGACTGAAGAAAAATGCCGTAGACTCGAAAAAAGAATACAGTTCATGCACTATTCTCTTAAAGAATCCTAATCTTTAACAGACCTACAATTTATTAAGCATTTTTGTACTAAGGATTAAAGAAGTCGTTCAAACATTTGAGTTTACGCGAATTAAATGAGGTTATATTATCAATAGAAACCAAAGATTTCTTAAGTTTGTCCTTAAAATACAAATAATGTAAATAAGAAATTGGAAGAAATTTTAAAATATTAGAAATGCAATCATGTACAAACCATCTGTACAATTTTTTAATTATTTATGTAAAAGAAATGCGGATTAGAAAATCACCCTCATGAATAAAGTGCTTCTCTGATACATGTTTTAATACTGATCCTGTGACTGACATGAGTTAGTTAACTACTTGTTCTTTCTGAGTTTTTGGGCTTGATATTGGTGACGATGTCATCATTGCAAGCAGAGCTTCATCACTTAATTCATCGTCGTTTGAGGTAATTCTTGACACTGGATCTGATTTCTGGATCGGACTACTAAATATGTCAGTTGAATTCATTCTCTCAGTGAAGAACAGAGTTATATGGAGAAACAAAAAAATAATAAAATAAAACTAATCTATTTTTCACTTACATTAAACTCAAAATTTTAATCTTTAACAAAAATATGAAAAAGTCATATCATTTTAAAGGAACCAAACTGAATGTTGCAAACCTTTCAAGCGCCAATCTGAGGAGCTCATTATCGCTGTCGTCATCGCTGTGATATTCTGATATCTGTTGCTTCGACTTTGATGACGCGATTTGTTCTGTACGTTCTTCATTATTCCTGCAAAAAGTTTTTGCTTAAGTGACAAACACTTAATTCTTCTCGAATAAATTAGAACAGTTTGAAATTTAGGCTGTACAAATTGCAAACTCTTTCGGAGAAACAAGTACGGCCTTTTCTGGCACTATTAAAAGTGCTGACAATCCGCAAACAGAACAAACAACTGCTGGAAGAAATGGTCACGTTTGTCTTTTCCGTCTACGCAACTTTCCTAGATTCTATTAATAAACTCGGACTTGACATTCTTTAGTTGTCAGTGAAATATTCATTCACAACTCACAGCTGGACAGGAACTGCTCGAAAAACGACATAACCAAACAATTTGAATGATCTTTTCATTGGACTTACCATCTTATTCTCCCCATGGATAAGAGTGAATCAGATTTCAACTTCATTTCTAGCTTTTTGGTGCTAGATACGTTGTTGTCTATCCCCGCTGTCATCTGCTCCTGGAAGATCCACTATTTTAAAATTACTTTTATTCTATAAAACCACCAGTTGTCTAACGTCCACATTTTATCATATTTCAAACTGTAACCAAAAGATGCAACTATTTTAATTTACTCTAAATATCATTATGAAAATCCTGGGTCAAGAATATATTGAACATTTTAATGGCAAGTGCTCAACAGAAATGGCTCAAATTAATAATAATGGTGGATCTGACTTGTGCAGTTACAGCAAATCATAAAATCGATGTTTAACATCTTAAAAAGGTGTAATACTACATCAACGAAAAACATACTACAAAAAGCACAATTTACTTCGCAAAGTTTCTTCTGAAATGAACATTCATTCGAAGCACCATATGTTGAACACTCTGGTATTATTACACAGGAAAGCTTTTGGTGCTGTGCTTGAGAAAACAACAGTTTTCTTTGCTTCTCCTTTTTGATTTTATCTGAAAATAATTCAGAAATTACAAAGTCAATAATTAATTTTAGCAATCAATTTGTGATGATATTCATAATATTCTGTGCTTCAAAACCTAAAGAATAAAATGTATTCTAGATTCAGCAGCTCATCGAGCCTGATATGCTTTCCCATTAGTTAAAATTATGCTTTAGGCAATAAATCTCGTCAGAATTAGATCAAGACTTTATATATATATAGACTGCCTGGCAATGCACTACCTGAATTTAAGAAATATAAAAAGTATATTTCCACATCATAATGTTTGAAGCATGATAAGGTTCAACATTTATAAACGTGTCTCTAATCATCAACGGTTAGTGACACTTGATAACACTCTCAATTTCAAAATCTCTACTTATGACTTTTCTTACAAAGATAAAAATTTTTTTATAAAAATTGGCTAAAAATAGACCTATAAAGACTTATTTGCGCAATAAGAATAAATGAATTAATTGATAAAGATGTCATAAGAAATATAACTAATGCATAAAAATGTAGGAGGAATTAACAGAATGATGGTATTACCGATGACTTTTCTAGTTTCTTTGAGAGATCTTTCATAACGAGTTATATTTGCTTGACGTTCCGTCTCTTTACGCGCTTCTTCCTCCAATGTTTTTGTGTCCTGCTTTGGTCTTTGCAAATCTTTAAAGATCGCTGGAGAAACATGTGCAAGATTTTCGCACATTTCTGGACTGCATGGTGATGAAGCAAACGTCAACTACAGAGAAGATCGTATCAAGAAATAAAGGAATGAACTTTTCTTTAAAAAAAAGAGTGATTAATGGATGGATGCTCCGTCAGTTAAACCACTTTTTGAATAAGCAGGCAAAACTAGAAAGTGACGCATCCACTAACAACTACACATATACCGTAACACTATTATCATTTTTTTACTTCTGTTACAACGTTAACACGATGAGCTTCATTGCTAGTTTACTGAAATATTCAAAAAAATAAAACCGCACAAAATAAAACAGAAAACCCAATGTCTATTAACAACTCTCATTTACGTTTCAGCTTGGCTAGTCAATCAGTCAATCATTAGCTTGTCATTGTATTATTTCCTACTTCACCAAGTTAGTTTGCATTTCATCGAAATCATGAAATAAAATTTACACATGCATTAGCACGAACAGTTTCATCGTCAAGACCCTGATCTCTGATCCATGGGAAGTATTCGTCTGCCTTTTCTTCAAACCAATCGTCGAAAATCTTTTTCTCTATAAGCAAAATAAATGCCCACGTGGAAACGATTTCATATTTCAACAATTTATTTCTTTCATAAATATATTCAGTAAACGAAAAATACATCAAAGATGTTCATAACACTCACTTTTTAATATTAATGGAGAAATAAAAAATGATAATATGTAACGGTAATGGTAATAAAAGCAAATAAGCTCCAATCGGTCTACACCAAAGTTTTTAATACTAACTTTATTTGCTGCGACCAAGTTCACCATTTTTTAAAACACAAAAAGAGCCATGCAATGTATCCCTTTTCAGGACAAAATGGTCTCGCAAGTAAGTTGTCAATGCTCCTCTACAGCTGCCATACTACTCTATTAATAACTCAACTCAAGAGGATTGATTAGCTTTAATTTCTATTTGTATGACTACTTTTCTTAACTCGACTTCAACTCTGCTGTTTATTTCATACAAAAGCATCTACCTTCTTCGGGTGGGTTTGCTCGTCGATGCTTGTTTATCGGTGACTGTTGCCATGAATAACTGTATAAGGCTTTCCTGCGCCCCTCCATCACCTGCACCCAGTTCTACTAATAATCTAGAAAAGTATTAATGAAACCTAAAAATTAAACATTAAATCAAACTTCCATCATAACGATCATGAAAATTACCAACTGATCAACAAATACATTACTACAATCTCTAGTTAACATATTACGATAGTATGAAGTATGAAGATACTGTTAAGAGCTATTACGATGACACGATGATCAGAGTATACGAAAATGAAGATCAATGAAGAGATCTTAACTGTTAAGTCACAAGTTAACTTAATTATAAAGTTTAATTCAGGACAAGTTCAGACACGAATCTTACTTTCCAACAATTCACACAAATTTATTATACGCAGGTTATTTCATTTTATTTTTTCACGTATTGTGTCACGTACGTGCCCAAGCAGTCTACTAACATTATCGCGTTTACCAGTTCTGTTGAAAATGCGCACAATATTGCTGAGATATACATAATAATCATCAAAAAGTTCTCAAGAGATTATCCTCTAGGAATTTACAATCCCGATAACTCACATCTCCCATCTCGAAATAACCCTGACACACTTCCTCGAGAGATAGCAAGCGAAACACTGAACGGTCAATTGGAGGCTTTCGAGAGGAGAATGAAAGAATTTGCGCGAATTTGAAAAGCTGAAATTTGACTATTGAATGAAACGCCGAGTTACATCAATTCGACTGCTCTGTTTAGTTTTTTTTTTTTATAAAGCTATGATTTTTTCTTCACATTTAACGTATTTATCAACGTTTCAGTCCTTTGTAAGCAATGAAAGTGCCCTCAAGCACTTCACATTTGTGCGCAGCTGTCACATGCACCAACATTCTTTCACTGCTTCTACATTAATTTAATTGTTTGCCATTCAGTTCGACATATTATATATAATATAATGTTACAATGAATGAGCTGTAATAATTTCCAGTATAAATTTGTGCACATCCGCTCTTCTTTCATCGAAGACTTTCCCTAACATTGGAATGTTTTGAAATTACAAAATAATTTTGAAACGATTAAAAGTCCGAACTTTTGTTGACTCAGCTCGTTTTCAGTATTGCTTTGTTTTTATAATATTTTAATCGAATCACGACTTCTATTACTGGTTAATTTTTTAAAATGATCGTGAAAATGTGACTGATTTGAAGAACAGAATGCGTTTATCTTTATGGCTTGCAGCCTGATAAGGATTAGAGCTGGACGTATCTTCTTATCTTTCTGTTTACAGTAGTGATGATAAAGAGAGGAAGGCTGAGTTCCATAAGTGTATTATTTATTCCAAATGTTTGACTAAGTCTCTTATCAGCACTGATAGCTGTGCTATGGTTTAATCATATCATCAGTATACTGGTTCCTACTATGGGCTCAATTTTTCAGCTACCTTGCTGTCTCGAAACCAATGTGGAAACCATGAAATCAAGAAAGAATGCTTCATTTAAAAATTTTCACTTGTCAGAAAGCAGAAACACCAAGACATGTTCCGTAATTACTACTCGTATCGTATCTATTGAAATACAAAAAGAAAAGACGATTTCATTTCTTTGTTAAGCTTTGTCTTGTAATGAAATATCCCAGAAATGGTCCTGGATCTAATTGATTTAAGTCTTCGGGCATTGGTTTATCTTTGGTCTCCGGTAAAGTAATGGCTAGCACCGCTGCAGCAAATGATAAACCGGCTAGGATGAATTGCGGTATTTTGCCATCACCCAGATCCTATAAAAGAGAAATTTTTCGATTTGCTTCTCTTAACAACAAAATGGCACTATATATATTGTCTTACATTACATGATGAATTAAAATCTCTATGAAAATTGCCGAGATATTTCTAAATGTTTTTCAGTAGTAACTTAAACAACGAGCTTTAAATTTTTGTTTCTCTTCTTGCTACTCATTGTTGCTAATTTGTGCATCTTGAAGATTAATTTTCAATTTCAAGAATATAAGTTTTTTTTTCTCGACTTACTGAATATTTGAGTAATGGTGAAAACATGATTCCAATGCTCTGAGGTATATTAATTATTGAATAACTGATTGTTCGAATGGTTGTTGGCATCATTTCGTTTGCCAGTAAAGGATGGGTTGCATATACTACTTCGTTGATCATTCTTCCGAATAAGTTGCATGATATCCGAGCCCACCGAATTCCTAAAGGTTTACGAAATCTTTTTGATTAATGTTTGGTTAAAGCTTGAACCAGATTTTAAAATCCAAGATTGAATTGAGTTTAAATGTGATAATGAAGTTTTTCCATAAATGCCTGCAAATGGATTAGTGATGAATATGTCAAAAATTTAAGAAATCATGGAATTATCACATAATGTCTAGCAAAACCATTTTAATTTTATAGCAACTTGAAATAATTAGACTAATTACAAACTCTCAAATTGAATTTAATAACTGCGAATTAGCAGAACAGAATCCAAGCAATTGGAAGAAGATCAGTTCAATTAATTGTAAAAGACATGACCAAATTAAGAAATGCGGAACTATCTAACATACCTTGAACGAATGGTGTAATAAGTGCGGCACAAGCTTGCAAGAAAAATGATACGCATGCAACAGAACGGCGACCAAAAAAATGCAGCAATGGAATAACAATGATACCTCCCGGGATCTCTGATAAACCGGATAGAACATAACCCGTGAATGCATGCTCGGTTAGATTGACACTATTAAATGAGACAACAAAATAATAAAAGTTCATAGTCATCCTGAAAAAATGTGTACAGATATAACGAATATTTAACTTTACTGTTTTAATCGAATGATGCAAAGATGAATTCAATTCAAACTTCAAGAAATTTCCAATTTCTTATCCTGATTTTAGTCTGATTCCACAATCCGCTTTCTCGAAATTAAGCAGTGAAAAGGGATAGGCGAGAGTTTTAGCTTCTCTTTTGGTATTTTTTGTATCATTTCATCAGTTTTCCTCACTTCAAAAAACTACTTCACAAAAACTAACGGTTGCTTACGTGATATAGCCGTTGACAAACAGAAAAAACATAATTCGTTTATATTTAAATAAATCACAGACAGTTCTTTCTTTAAATTCTACTGCAAGTCTCCTCTGGATACTTTCCGATTGACACTTATTTAAATCAATTTTAACATTATTGAACCTGAAAGAACAAATTACTACAGATAAGTGGTCATTACGATTATAAAATTTACAAGACGAGATCTGTTAGCAGAGACTTCACGGTTATAATCAAAAATTTCTCATCTTAAATTATAATGAAATATAAAATAAAATATGAAATATAGCAAAATATATTGAAGGACATAAATATAATTTTTTTGATTTGCAAAAATTATACAATTTGTGATGTTTGTACCATGAAGACATTTTAATATACTTTTGGATGCCATGTATCCGTCTGCGTGAGATCATCCAGTGTGGTGATTCAGGTAGCAACCTGGAATCAGTGTTCGTTTGCTTTTGACCGAATTTTTCTTCCAATGATAAAATTACACAATTAAAAAGCTTTTTAAATAACTAAAATTTTTTATTTGTTTGAAAAAATACAATAAATTTTATCAAGAGTCCAGCAAGAACTGTTAATTATTTTATTAAAGAATTATTTTATTAACTAATATTTTTAGGTAATCAGATTTTTCAAAAAGATGCTTCAGTAATTGGAGAGTGAAGAGTGAAAGTATTTAACTTTTTGCAACTAATCTCGTAGGTTTCATTTAAATAATATGATCGCAAATTATACCAGAAATATACAACAGTCAATAAACTGGGGACTGCTGATATGAAGTATAGTTTTCTCCAGTCCTTAATGAACACTTCCAAAACTCCGACATACAAATATCCGAGTAGCCAAAATGTTACTCCAAATAAACTTATCCATTCACGAAATGATCCAGCTACTGTTTCACAGCAAAGAATTGAGCCAATTGTCAAATAGGTCTGAAAGAAATTGCTTCTTTTCATTATGATTAGTTATAGGTCTGAAAGAAATTGCTTCTTTTCATTATGATTAGTTTTTAAGCCAATCGGAAATAGCAAAGATTTTATTTAAAATAAGTTCGACTTGTAATGCTACAAAGAAGCGATGACAGCTGTATTTGGGGACTCTTCTCTGCATTGGATTGATGAAGCAATCTTTTAGAGTCTGTTAGTTTTTTATTTTAAATATGATATTTTTTAGTGACAGAAATTTTCTACATTCTTAAACGAAGTTGGAAAAAATGTCGAAAAGTGATGAGAAGATAGAATATTCTTGAATGAGAAAAGATATTTCAAAACCTGGTCTGACTTGAAATCTAAATGTAAAGTGATAATTTTGACTTATTTCTATAATCATTCCCAAAGTTGATCTTATGAAGAACAAATCACATCGGCTGCTGCTCCGACAAGAAATCGCAACAATACGAAGATTGCATAATTAGGTGAAAATGCTATAATAAAACTGAATATGACACTTGAATACATGGAAATTAAAAAGATACGTCGGCGACCATACCGATCTGATAGATGTGATGCTATTGGTACTACTAGAAGAGCACCTGAAAACATAAGTGAAAGTTTCTGCGAAGAATTGTTAGATACTAATTAGTTATGATCAAAATTGATGGAACTATATCAATTAACTTATGACACTTCGTCAGATTAGTATATAATAATCAACTGATGGCAGAGAAATTACCAGCCGAAAAAACTGAAAAACCAGCTTCTTGTATAAATGGGTTGACACATAATAATTCATACTGCAAAAATCGAGCTATGATATTCGATTGTTTATTTTTTCTTCCTTATATTTTCAATTTAAACAAATAATCCTCATGTCGCATTTGCTATACGATTTAGTGATGATATTATGTTTCAAACAGAGTGATATTTTGGTAATGATTTGTTTCTTTGGATTTTTACTATAATTTTTGATATATTTGTTTGATTTTCCGACCAAATTGTTTGATTTCTGACCTTAAGTTAATGTTTTAACTTTGGAAACATTCCTTAGATCAATTTTACTGCGATATTTTTTTTTTTTAAATAAAC